TTTTTGGTAATTTTCGATGTGGTAACCATGGTTTTCACACAAGTGACATACATAGAAAAAGAGGTTTATACACTTCTCAGTACTTTATATGTATTGTAAATGTAATGCAGTTTACAAATATATATACATGTATACATGTGTTGTGAAGGGTAAATCCGCTGTGTTTACATTTCATCGACATGTGCCTTGTTTATCAGAGTCTGGCCATTTCTACTGTATTCTGCTACCTTAACCCTACGATATCCTCCATCTGATTGGATGAAGTACACTGGCAGGTTTTCATTCTTGAAATCGGGTCTGTTTAGAGATGTTCACGACAGCACTCTTGTGCGAAATTAACATTAAATATCAGCGCAGCTGCACACTAAACCTGTTTATGTTAGCACACAAATTGGTTCTATTTCCTCATCAATATTAAAAGCCTTTAACAACACCAAAGTACTAACGACAACAATACCGTTCCGTTTTATGGCAACATGCTGTCAGCTTTATTTAGGTAAAAATTTTAACTGGATTCTCTTTCCAGTTTCCATCGTAAAATAAAGGAACAATACATGTGAACCCATCTATTGGACCAACACAGGAACTGCTATCATTTCAACAGTAAAATATTTCGTAACAACTTAAATTAACGAAAACACAGTTGTGTAAGTCCGTCGATCGTTTGTTCTGAGTGAAATGACAATTCTTCTCAAACACTCTTAGTTGTTTGTTTACCGTCATATGCCTAATTATCACTCAACTATTGTTAAGTTATTCACCTGATCTGTTGAACGATGTTGTTTTAAACTACCTGTACGTGCGCTTTGGGGTGGTGGTCTGTTTACAGTTGTCTGCATAAGGAGACAATTGGTTATATGATATATAATATAATAATAGTAGGTTGTGTAATTCTGTACAAAATATGGTCAAACTTTATCAAACGACCGTTTTTCTAATTTCCCTTGGGTGGTCGCTTAATACAGATTCCACTGTAATTGTTCACGGTAACCTGTTTAATTCTTGCAGCAATTATACTTAGTCTAAAAAGTACATTAATAATCCGCCATTTTGTTATCTGCGCGGGGGCGAGTCTAGTAAGGTCATCCGGTACGGAATCTGGACTGGATTTGCGCTACGGAAAGAGTTAAGAAAGGTGTCGAAAAGATTTTGTTCAACTTTCTTGAAAGTGTGGCCCCTTGGGGGCAGAGGTGGGAGGCCCAGTAGGGGAAATTGAGGTAAATCTTTAAAATTCTTCTCCTTCTGTACAAATGGAATGATTTTAACCGAATTTTGTTTATAACATCCTTGGGCAAGGGGAATTCGCTTTTTTATACACGCAGGGTGTGGCTCTCCTTGAGGGAAGAGGGGAGGGGCCCATTAGGGAGAACATAGGGGAAAATGTTTAAAATTCTTCTTCTGTATGAATTGAGGGATTTGAACTTAAATGTGGTGTATAGCACCCTCGGTAAATGGGACTCAATTTTGTATAAATGGAAGTTATTGCCCCCTGGTTAGCAGAGGGCGGGGCCTTAATAGGGGAAATTTAGGTATTTTTTTTTAAATTATTCTCTTTCAATATGAATAGAGGGATTTGAACCAAATTAAGTCTAGAACATCATTGGGCAAGGGGAATTCACTTTTGTATAAACAGAGAGTGTGCCTCCCCTTGGGGCAGAGGGGTGGGGCCCATTTGGAGACCTTATAGTAATTAAAGTTTAAAAACATTCTCCTTCTGTAGGAATGGAACCAAATGTGGGGTAAAGCATCCGTAGGCAAAAGGGACTCAATTTTGTTTAAATGAAGGATGTTGCCTCCAGGGGGTAGAGCAATTTGGCCATATTGCTTAAAGTGACTTCTTCTCTGGAATATAGTGATGGATATGGATATTATGGGCGGATTAGTATATTGGTTAACACGTGCACCTCGGCCTTCCACGCAGGCGGCCGGGGTTTGATTTAACTGTTTTTCTCCTGCAAACACAACTCCAACAACCCAGCTGGAGCATAAAATGGTCTTGGGTGGATGTTGTGGTATCTGTGATGTAGCATTCAAGTGAGGTGGCACTATAAATTATGCCGTTGGAAGCACGGTCCCACTAGAAACAGAACACATTACATCTCCAGCACATGCAGGCATACACACATAGGGAGATATTAGCCAGGTAGCATAGCCATAGGACTAGTAGTTAGCACCTGATAAGGCAGCTCCTGCGAATTCCTCAAAAGATGTATTGATTAATGTATATACAAAATGTACTAGTTGTATTAATTTTATATCTATGTACTGTAAAGTGCTTTAGAGTGGCTTGGGTAAGCTAGAAAGGGCGCTATATCAAATGTTGTATATTATTATATCATTCGTATTTGGTTTGGAGTATTCTTCAGTGTTGAGGATTTAAAAGTGTACCAGTTGAAGGGCTTACCCCTGGATCTTAGGGGCGGGTCGAAAAAGAATTTTTAACTTGGACATTATCGAGAACTCCACACTTTAACCATGTAAACAATCAATAAGCATCAAGAGACGAACATAATCATGATCTAAGAATTAACCCTTGCGTCTGGCCCTACCCCTAGGGACTTTATTCCTGAGCCATGATTTTTAAATGGTCAAGATCCCCACCATATAATCATATATACCATTGCTGGGCATCAAGAGACAAACACAATTATGATGATATTAAATTTGATAATGATATTAAATTTGACCCTTGGGTCTTGCCCCACCACTAGGAACTTAATATTTTGGCCATATCTTTGAAACAGTTGAGATCCCCACTCCATAACCATATATACTATGATATTAGTATTGACTCTTGTATCTGGCCCCACCCCTGAGAGGGGGTCCTAGGGACTTAATTTTTGGGCCATAACTTTGAAATGGTTGAGGTCCTGAACAAATAGCCATATATATCATTGCTCGGCATACATATTCAGGTGGGTGATACAGGCCCACTATGCCTCTTGTTTTTCTGATCTAAGTATAAAACTGGACAATAGAATGAACCCTTTGATATTTGCAGTATTCACGTTCTGTTCCAAAGCCGAAGTTTAGAGCTGACACAGAACACAATGTAACCTCACCACGATCTGATTGGAGCAAGACAAGTTTTCCTGATCCTTATTCAGGACAAAGGAGGGAGACCATGGGTAAGAACAGTCTTTATATAATATATTTTTAGGACTACTTTAAAGATTTTCAAAAAGCGCCAGTTGTGCTTATAGTATGGTGTGTTGTTCGTCGTCCATCAAGTTTTTATTTGAACAACTTCTTCTTAAGATCTTGAATACCTAGGGACATGATATTTGGCCAGTAGGTACCTGGGACAGAGTGCTATAAATTTTCCTCAAATAAATTACCTTGACCTATTTCCTAAGTCACAGGGATCAGATATGTAAAAACCTTTAAAAAACTTCTTCTGAATAACCAGGAGGCCCAGAGGTATGATACTTGGCTGGTATTACCTGACATGAAGTGCTATAAACTTTTTTTAAATAATGTCCTTGACCTACATTAAAGATCGCAAGGGTTACATATGTTACAATCCTTTAAACAACTTCTTTTGAATAACCAATAGGCCTAGAGCAATAATATTTGTCCAGAAGGTACCTGGGACAGAGTGCTATAAAGTGTCCTCAAATAAATGACCTTGACCTATTTCCAAGGTCACAGGGGTCAAATATGTAAGAACTTTTTCAAGAACTTTTCCTCAAATAAATTACCTTGTCCTACTTTCATGATCACAAGGGTAAAATATGCAAATTCAAACAACTTCTTTTTAATAACCAAGAGGCCTTTGAGTAATGATATTTGGGCAGTAGGTACCAGGGCCCATTTGTATAAAACATCTTAACACTTGAGAATTCCTCAAGTCTAAGATTTCCCATAGACACTTTGAGATGTTTTATACAAGTGGGCCCTGGGACAGAGTGCTGTACATTTCCTCAAATAAATTACCTTGACCTATTTTCAAAGTCATAGGGATCAAATATATATAAATATCTTTGATTTTTTTCCTGAATTACCAGGAGCCCCAGAGTTCTAATACTTAGCCAGTAGGTACCTGCAAGAAGTGCTCTAAAATTCCCATGAATATATGACCATTTACATACCCACTGTCAAGGGGTTGGTTAGTATTACCTGACATGAAGTGCTATGAACTTTCATCAAATAATGTCCTTGACGTACATTTAAGATCGCAAGGGTTACATAGGTTACAAACCTCTGAATAAAGGGTTACATATGTTACAAACCTCTGAGTCCCAGGGCTTTGAAATATTTATCTAGCATGAAGCACTACAATGTGTCCTCAGATAAATGACCTTGACCTATTTCAAGGTCACAGGGATCAGATATGTAAAAACTTTTATTTTTCTCTCTCTGAACAACCAGGAGGCCCAGGGCTATGATACTTGGCCAGTAGGTACCTGGCATGAAATGCTATACAGTTTCCTCAAATGAATGACCTTGATCTACTTTCAGTATCACATTAGGGTCAAATATGCTAAAAACCTTTAAACTTCTTCTGAATAACATATTTGGTCAGTATGTACCTGGATCAGATAGCAGAAAAGTTCTCTCTAATTAATGACCTTGACTTTTTTTCAAGAGTCAAATATTTAGGAGGATACAACTTCATTCTCTGATGGATTGAGCTTTATGGTTATACAGTATCAATTATGAGAATACCACTGATGGGCTTATGTTTCAGCATTCCAATGTCAAAGCCAAGATCACCATTGCTATTTATAGAAAATCATCAACCAATTCAGTGTCATCAGTCTACCAACTTTATATCCTGATGGATTTTGATCAAAATTTATACAAAGGTCAGGTATGATAATACCTCAGACATCTTTGTGTTTCAGGGTTGAAAGGTCAAGGCCAAGGTCACTTATGAGTTGCTGTACATAGAAAGTCATCACTCTATTTAATGTCATCACTCTAGCTACTTCATTTCTTTACAGATTTTGATCAAATTGTTTACAGATTTCTCGTATTAGAATACCTCTGACGAGTTCATGTTTCAAAAGTCACTGTATTTATCAACTTGAAGTATGATAACATCTTGAAATGTACATATTTCAGGGTGTCAGGATCAAAGTCAACGTTATAGAACATTATCAAACACTAAATTAATTTCATATGGCGGCAAGGGTATTCATGTCTTACAGACATTTTCTAGTTTATCTTTGTCTTATTATTTATTAATGTCATTATTAGAATATTTGAAACTCAACAAATATAAATGAGTAAAAAACACCATTTTCACAAAAGTGACACATTCTATTGTCTGAAGTATTGACAAATTAATTACCATTCATGGTCAAAGCAGTGACACACAAAATATTTAATTCCATGGAATTTATTGTTATACGTTAAAACTTTTAAATAACTTCTTCTGCACAACCAAGAGGCCTAAAGTCATGAAAAAAATCGGAATAGATAAATAAGGGGTGATGGTGTTTGGTCAGTAGCATGTTCGGGTTGCTGTCAGATCTGTTGAGATGAATAGCCACTTTGCCTAATTTTAAAGTCCAAGGTAACAAATATATTAAACAATTTATTAGCTTTTGAATAATCAAGAGCCCAATATATATATTGACAAGTGCATGATTGGATGAATTGACTTATTCATACTAGTTTTCAAGGTCACAAATCAAATTTGTTTAAACCTTTAAAAGTCAATTTCTGTTATTAACCAACGACCTAGGACTCTGACTCATTTCCAAGGTCATGGGGTTAATTGTGTAAGAATCCAATGAGCAATTTCTTTTGATGTCCTTATTAAATGGACAAACACTGTCCTAAGGTTATGATATATGTCCTGCCGATTTAAAGAGCTATAAACTTTAGGCTGTGAATGAATGACCTGGACCAACTTGAAGGGTCATATTAGTAAAGGTATTAAAAAGTTCCAAATAATACAAGTTGTAGAGTAATAAAGTATCCCAACAAATATCTCTGTAGAGTAATAAAATCTCACAACAAATATCTCTGTAGAGTAATAAATCTCACAACAAATATCTCTGTAGAGTAATAAAATCTCACAACAAACATTGTGTAGAGTAATAAAATCTCACAACAAATATCAATAATTTGAAGAGTTATAATAATTTGTCAATTTAAAATGAGCATGATCAAAGTTGAAGAATCTATATAACGTTGAGCAATACAGGCTTTTAAGGTCTCTTGTTAAAATATGATATACATGACCATTGTTGCTTTCTCATAAGATATCAACCTCAAAGTAGGCTGTAAGCAAGGCTAATCTAACAATGAGCCCATTTCTTCAACCTGTCCACTTATTGTGACATGCACATGTATGTGTAGCTTAGATCATGACAGGCATGACATGTTGTGTTAGAAGATTGTATAATTAGTCCTAGACCATGACAGGCATGACACGGAATGTTGTGTTAGAAGAATTTATTATAAGACCTAGATCATGACAGGCCTGACATGTTGTGTTAGAAGATTGTATTATAAGACCTAGATCATGACAGAGAAGATTGTATAATTAGACCTAGCCCATGACAGGCATGACATGGAATGTTGTTTTAGAAGATCGTATTATAAGACCTAGATCATATTGTGACATGCACATGTATGTGTAGCTTAGATCATGACAGGCATGACATGTTGTGTTAGAAGATTGTATAATTAGACCTAGACCATGACAGGCATGACATGGAATGTTGTGTTAGAAGATTGTATAATAAGACCTAGTTCATGACAGGCATGACATGGAATGTTGTGTAAGAAGATTGTAAAATAAGACCTAGATCATGACAGGCATGACATGATATGTTGTGTTAAAAGATTGTCATGACAGACATGACATATAATGTTGAGTTAGAATATTGTATAATAAGACCTTGATTATGACAGACATGACATATAATATCGTGTTAGAAGATTGTATAATAAGACCTAGTTCATGACAGGCATGACATGGAATGTTGTGTTAGAAGATTGTATTATAAGACCTAGATCATGACAGGCATGAGATGGAATGTTGTGTAAGAAGATTGTATTATAAGACCTAGATCATGACAGAGAAGATTGTATAATTAGACCTAGACCATGACAGGCATGACATGGAATTTTGTGTTAGAAGATTGTATGATAATACCTAGATCATGACAGGCATGACATGTTGTGTTAGAAGACTGTATAATAAGACCTAGATCATGACAGGCCTGACATGTTGTGTTAGAAGATTGTATAATTAGACCTGGACCATGACAGGCATGACATGGAATGTTGTGTTAAAAGATTGTATTATAAGACCTAGATCATGACAGGCATGACAAGTTGTGTTAGAAGATTGTATAATTAGACCTGGACCATGACAGGCATGACATGGAATGTTGTGATAGAAGATTGTATAATAAGACCTAGGTCATGCCAGGTATGACATGGAATGTTGTGTTAGAAGATTGAATTATAAGACCTAGATCATGACAGGCATGAGATGGAATGTTGTGTAAGAAGATTGTATTATAAGACCTAGATCATGACAGACATGACATATAATGTTGAGTTAGAAGATTGTATAATAAGACCTTGATTATGACAGACATGACATATAATATTGTGTTAGAAGATTGTATAATAAGACCTAGATCATGACAGGCATGGCATGGAATGTTGGGTTGGAAGATTGTATAATAAGACCTAGGTCATGACAGGTATGACATGGAATGTTGTGTTAGAAGATTGTATAATAAGACCTAGTTCATGACAGGCATGACATGGAATGTTGTGTTAGAAGATTGTATAATAAGTCCTAGATCATGACAGACATGACATGGAATGTTGTGTAAGAAGATTGTATAATAAGACCTAGATCATGACAGGCATGACATGGAATGTTGTGTAAGAAGATTGTAAAATAAGACCTAGATCATGACAGGCATGACATGTTGAGTTAGAAGATTGTAATAAGACCTAGGTCATGACAGGCATGACATGGAATGTTGTGTTAGAAGATTGTATAATAAGACCTAGATCATGACAGACATGACATGGAATGTTGTGTAAGAAGATTGTATAATAAGACCTAGACCATGACAGGCATGACATGTTGTGGTAGATGATTGTATTATAAAACCTAGATCATGACAGACATGACATATAATGTTGAGTTAGAAGATTGTATAATTAGACCTAGATCATGACAGGCATGACATGGAATGAGGTGTTAGAAGATTGTATTATAAGACCTAGATCATGACAGGCATGACATATTGTGTATGATGATTGTATAATAAGACCTAGGTCATGACAGGCATGACATGTTGTGTTAGATGATTGTATTATAAAACCTAGATCATGATAGACATGACATATAATGTTGAGTTAGAAGATTGAATAATTAGACCTAGATCATGACAGGCATGACATGGAATGTGGTGTTAGAAGATTGTATTATAAGACCTAGATCATGACAGGCATGACATGTTGTGTTAGATGATTGTATTATAAAACCTAGATCATGATAGACATGACATATAATGTTGAGTTAGAAGATTGAATAATTAGACCTAGATCATGACAGGCATGACATGGAATGTTGTGTAAGAAGATTGTATTATAAGACCTAGATCATGACAGGCATGACATGTTGTGTTAGTTAGAAGATTGTATAATAAGACCTAGATCATGACAGGCATGACATGGAATGTGGGGTTAGAAGATTGTATTATAAGACCTAGATCATGACAGACATGACATATAATGTTGAGTTAGAAGATTGAATAATTAGACCTAGATCATGACAGGCATGACATGGAATGTTGTGTAAGAAGATTGTATAATAAGCCCTAGGCCATGACAGGCATGACATGTTGTGGTAGATGATTGTATTATAAAACCTAGATCATGACAGACGTGACATATAATGTTGAGTTAGAAGATTGTATAATAAGACCTATGACAGACATGACATAGAATGTTGTGTAAGAAGATTGTATAATAAGACCTAGATCATGACAGTGTTAGAAGATTGTATGATAATACCTAGATCATGACAGGCATGACATGGAATGTTGTGTAAGAAGATTGTAAAATAAGACCTAGATCATGACAGGCATGACATGTTGAGTTAGATGATTGTATAATAAGACCTAGGTCATGACAGGCATGACATGTTGTGTTAGATGATTGTATTATAAAACCTAGATCATGATAGACATGACATATAATGTTGAGTTAGAAGATTGTATAATTAGACCTAGATCATGACAGGCATGACATGGAATGTTGTGTAAGAAGATTGTATAATAAGACCTAGCTCATGACAGGCATGACATGGAATGTTGTGTTAGAAGATTGTATAATAAGTCCTAGATCATGACAGACATGACATGGAATGTTGTGTAAGAAGATTGTATTATAAGACCTAGATCATGACAGGCATGACATATTGTGTAAGATGATTGTATAATAAGACCTAGGTCATGACAGGCATGACATGGAATGTTGTGTTAGACGATTGTATAATAAGACCTAGGTCATGACAGGCAAGACATGGAATGTTGTGTTAGAAGATTGTATTATAAGACCTAGATCATGACAGGCATGACATATTGTGTATGATGATTGTATAATAAGACCTAGGTCATGACAGGCAAGACATGGAATGTTGTGTTAGAAGATTGTATTATAAGACCTAGATCATGACAGGCATGACATGTTGTGTTAGATGATTGTATAATAAGACCTAGATCATGACAGGCATGGAATGTTGTGTTAGATGATTGTATTATAAAACCTAGATCATGCAGACATGACATATAATGTTGAGTAAGAAGATTGTATAATAAGACCTAGATCATGACAGGCATGACACGGAATGTGGGGTTAGAAGATTGTATTATAAGACCTAGATCGTGACAGGCATGACATGTTGTGTTAGATGATTGTATAATAAGACCTAGGTCATGCCAGGCATGACATGGAATGTTGTGTTAGAAGATTGCATGATAAGACCTAGATCATGACAGGCATGACATGGCATGTTGTGTTAGAAGATTATATAATAAGACCTAGATCATGACAGACATGACATGTTGTGTTAGAAGATTGTATAATAAGACCTAGATCATGACCGGCATGACACGGAATGTTGAGTTAGAAGATTGTATAACAAGACCTAGATCATGACAGGCATGACATGTAATGTTGTGTTAGAAGATTATATAATAAGACCTAGATCATGACAGACATGACATGTTGTGTTAGAAGATTGTATAATAAGACCTAGGTCATGACAGGCATGACATGTTGTGTTAGATGATTGTATTATAAAACCTAGATCATGCAGACATGACATATAATGTTGAGTTAGAAGATTGTATAATAAGACCTAGATAATGACCGGCATGACATGGAATGTTGAGTTAGAAGATTGTATAATAAGACCTAGATAATGACCGGCATGACATGGAATGTTGAGTTAGAAGATTGTATAACAAGACCTAGATCATGACAGGCATGACATGTAATGTTGTGTTAGAAGATTATATAATAAGACCTAGATCATGACAGGCATGAAATGGAATGTGGGGTTAGAAGATTGTATTATAAGACCTAGATCATGACAGGAATGACATGTAATGTGGTGTTAGAAGATTGTATTATAAGACCTAGATCATGACAGGCATGGCATGGAATGTGGTGTTAGAAGATTGTATTATAAGACCTAGATCATGACAGGCATGACATGGAATGTTGAGTTAGAAGATTGTATAATAAGACCTAGATCATGACCGGCATGACATGGAATGTTGAGTTAGAAGATTGTATAACAAGACCTAGATCATGACAGGCATGACATGGAATGTTGTGTTAGAAGATTATATAATAAGACCTAGATCATGACAGACATGACATGTTGTGTTAGAAGATTGTATAATAAGACTCATATCTGCTGAATGATATATGCATGACGAGAACAACCATGGCTTGTGTTAGATGACAATGAGTTTTCAGTGTCAGAATGCTTTGTTTTCTGTTCCACAGACGAGCCATACATTTTCAGCGGTGCGGGACTGAGCTCACCACGCTCCACCAAACCTCCTCCCCGAGCCAGGCCAAGGACCCCCAGATTTAATGATACCCCTCCAAAAGAAGAGTAAGTAAAAAAAAGCATTAAAATTGATGTTATCATTCAAGTTAACTTTATTAAGATTTCCTGTCGGAGGAGAGTATATTACCCACAGTATTGTTTTATTAGCTCACCTGTCAGGGTATGCCATGGTGCAGCATCTGTCGTCCATCCATCTGTCCGTTAACTTAAGTGGATTCTAACTAAATTTGGTCTGGAGCATCCTTTGGCCAAGGGGACTCAATTTTGTATAAACGGTGAGTGTGGCCCCCCCTTTGGCAGAGGAGCAGGGCCTAATAGGGGAAATAGAGGTAAAACCTTAAAAATCCTTCTATCCTTATTTAGTCTTGAGCATCCATGCATATTGGTTTAAAATCCCTCTTCTAACGTAAAGATAAAGGGTTTTAATCCCAATTTGGTGAGGAACATCTTTAGACCAAAAGCACTCAATTTTGTATAAATGTTGGGTGTGGTTCCCCTAGGGGCAGAGGAAATGGGCCAAATAGAGGAAATAGAGGTAAAACTTTTAAAATACTTCTTCTAGCATAGGGATAAAAGGAATTTATCCTAATTTAGTCTGGAGGATCATAATGGACCAAGGCACTCAATTTTGTATAAACGGTGGGTGTGGCACCCAGGGCAGAGGGGCCCAATAGTGGAAATAAAGGTAAAACCTTTGAAATTATTTTTCTACCATAGGAATTACTGGGTTTTATCCCAGTTTTGTCTCCATCAAGTTGTCTAGTAGTGCCTGTTACTATTAGGGTGTATTCATTAAAACAAGATGGCCACCAGGCCGCCATCTTGGATTTTGACATTTTGAGTGTTTCATATGTACATACAGTACTAACCATGGAGTGCAATATCTTTACTTCATATCAAGTACTTTAAACATATCAAGGTGAGTGATACAGGCCCTCTGGGCCTTTTGTTATACAAAAGCATTCCTAGTTTTGACTTTTTCTTCAAAACCACTGCACCTAGCTATTTCAATCAAAATTTACAAGAAGGTTCTTAAGTCCGAGCACCACCAGAAGTGTGAACTATATGGATCTAAACCCCCCTATTTAAAAAAAAATCTCCAGATTCAGATATTCTTGAATTATTAGGGCCCCGTATCGGAGATACAGGTGCCCTATAGTAATCACTCTGTCTGTCTGTCTGTCTGTCCACAAATTATGTTCCTGGCTGATAACTTTGGTATTTATTGACCGATGTACATGAAACTTGGTCAAGATGTTCAGTTTACAAAAATACACATTGAGGTAAAAAGTCAAGGTCAAAGGTCAAGGTCAAATTTTACATATTTTTACTGATGAATATTTCGCTATGATATTATGAAGCAAAGTTATTCGGAATTAAACAAAGAGACACACTGATGTAAAAAGTCGAGGTCAAAGGTCAAAGTCATTAGATTCAAAGGTCAAGGTCAAATTTTGCATCTTTCACTGATGAACATTTTGTTATGACATGATGAAGCAAAGTTGATCAGAATTAAACAAGGAGTCAACTGACCAAAGGTCAAGGTCATTGGGTCAAAAGTCAAGATTCAATTTTGTACCTTTTCACTGATGAACATTTTGTTATGACATTATGAAGCAATGTTATTCAGAATTAAACAAGGAGTCAACTGACCAAAGGTCAAGGTCATCAGGTCAGGGGTCAAGGTAAAATTTTGTAGCTTTTCACTGGTGAACATTTCGCTATGATATTATGAAACAAAGTTGTTCAAAATTAAACAAAGAGACACACTGAGGTAAAAAGTCGAGGTCAAAGGTCAAAGTCATTAGATTCAAAGGTCAAGGTCAAATTTTGCATCTTTCACTGATGAACATTTTGTTATGACATGATGAAGCAAAGTTGATCAGAATTAAACAAGGAGTCAACTGACCAAAGGTCAAGGTCATTGGGTCAAAAGTCAAGGTTAAATTTTGTACATTTTCCCTGATGAACATATTGTTATGACATTATGAAGCAATGTTATTCAGAACTTAACACAGAGTCAACTGACCTTAGGTCCAAGTTACGGGGCCCAAAGGGTCAAGGTCAAGTTTTGTATTTTTCACCGATGAACATTTTGTTATGATATCAAGAAGCAAAGTTGGTCGGAATTAAAGAATAAGTCAACTGACCAAAGATCAGGGTCACTGGGTTAATGGTCAAGGTCATTTGGGTCCAAAGGTCAAAGACAAGGTGGATCTCTGACTTTGACCCTGGCTCTTGATGGAGGAGGTATATAAGTTGAAATAAAACAAATCAAAGCTAACAAATGAGTATTGCACCAGTATTTACATTTCTGTTAGACCAGCAAATATGGAGGTGGAAGGAAACAAGACTCACATATATCATAGTACATGTGAAATGTATATTTTGCTTCCTTGCGATTCTTTTTGAAGTCCAAATGTCAAGCGTCAAGCTCAGCTATATGGGCAGATTGCTTCTTGATGATTTTGGGGGATATATTGCCACAAGACGGGGCCCTTACTGACCTGTCAGTGTTCTTGTTAATTATGGGCTTTATCAAAACTGTGAATTTCATAAACTCCTGGTCAACCAATCCACCCCTGGGGAGGGGGTAAAGTATACTATAGATTATCTAGAAAAATAATACTTTTGGGTACATTTTGCTTATTTTCTTCATTCGTAAGTATCAATTGACTGGTGTTATGATTGTCATATTTGGACTACAAAGTATTTGCTTTTGCCACTTCACAAATAGCAATTGTGTTACATCTCAGGTGACCATTAAGGTCCATGGGCCTCTCCTATATTAATGACAAGGTCTAAGTTTGTATAACTGAAGAGTGTGGCCCCTTGGGAGCAGAAGGAAGGAGAGATGAAAACACATTTACACTTACATGGAGTGTATACGAAGTGAACACTTGGCTAGCGAAGATGATTCATCAATAGAATTAGTCCAGATTTCTGTCCTCACCCCAGGAGAGGGGTCTAATAGGGCATTTAGGTCATAAATTGGAATTGCTTGAGATCTCCATCCAATAAACATTATTGATATATATGTTCAACATCATTTAAATATAAATACATCCATGCTACCATAATTTGCCTTCGGGTCCATCCTCACCCTATATAACCTTATATTATACCAGGATTGGTCCTGGGGTTCCTGGAAGAATTTTGGTCCAAGGGGATCAATTTTGTATAAACAGAGACCTCCCTCCCCTTATGCTAGAGGGATACTAAAGATAATACACCCATGCTCCATACCAACATCAGTTGGGTAAATTATTTGCTGTGTTGGCAGTCAATCGAGAACAATTACAAACAGATCAGCTCAATTTGTATAAAAACAACAACATGCAACACTTGTTTAACCTATTCAAAGAGCCAGCTGTATGGTAATCTTCTCAAGGTAATTTCTTTAAAAATACAAGGTGTATCATTAGAAAGACAAAGCCTTCTTATTTATCTAATATTATTTCATTTCAGATGTTCAAAGTTGTATTGTATTCTGAAAACAGAATGAAAATGTAACAATTTGATTTTTTTAATTTGGCCATTTTATAAAGATTTGTTTAAAAAAACACAATAATATATTGTACATTGAAAAGGGGCCATAATTCGGCTCTGCATTTTGGCCCCCAAAAAAGCCTTGAATCAGGAAATGCAATACAGTTCTTTCTATAAAAGGCATATTGAAAATTTCTTAATTGTAACCATTTTATATCATTGCAGTGTAAAATTCCCAGCTCCTAAAGGACCTACAACTTCAAATCGAGTGCACAGGGAACGCAAGCCTTCAATGAATGTTAGATTTTCAACGTGATGGAGATCAGCATCACATAGCCAGGAGAGATGAACACTGCTGACATTTTCTTGTTTGTGTGAAATTTTATCCAGAGTTTGTTCCTTATGAATAATTTCCTAGACATGATTTTGCATACAGTTATGATATGGGACACAGCTCGAATTCTTTTTATTTCTTAATTATCTCCTTGGAAACATTTTTTGTAAAATGTTCTCAGATTTTGTTTCATTAAATGAATTTATTTACAAGTAAAGCACCAAGATGAAGAAGAGGTAATGAGATTATTTATTGGCCGATTAATTTTAATAAATATACGAAAGTCAACTTCACTATTGTAATAGGAGCTCCTTAACTTGCAATTTATACAGTTAAGTGCAGCAGACTGTTTTCTCCATGATACAAAATACATTTTCAGGAGACAAATGCCTTGTTCTACTTTGGAGGTTAAACAATATTTCTGTTATATCTTAAAGTTGAGTTATTGCAGTGGAAAAAAGGAGATTAAAATTGATGTGTCATTATTTCTTTTTCTCCTCCGATCAATGAAGTTGATGGGGGATATAGAAATTGTCCATCCATCCGTGCACCTCAAGGAAAATGTTAAGTCTTGGTAACCGTGTTCGATGACATTTTATGGAACACATGTTGTGGATGCTAAATGACCTAAATCCTATGCTAACATCACTTAATTGATGTCACATGATGAAGACTGTTATCTGTACATGTGTAACATATGATTTAAGTGCTGCCTGATATAATGGTCACTCTATGAAACACGTGTGGTTGATGCTGAATTTGAATTCAGTGACTTGTTTAAGAAGAAATGTTCTATGTATAAGCTGAAGAAGAAATTGTTTTGTCCGGGTACCTAGAATTGCTTGATTACACAGTTAAATATGTTTGTAAACTCAATATGTTTGTCATCACTTTGCGGCATTTAAAATACAAGTGTTCATGTTTGCACTTACCTTAATACACTGAGATGATTCCTAAAGGGATATAGCAATATTATAGCACTCTGTACCCATTCAAAGTTGTGTTGTATGCTACATCCTAACTTGGGTGTATAATCCTGACTTGTTGACATCATCTGGTTATTGCTGTTGTGAAAAAAATTGAACCAGCTATAAATCCTGATTATTGATACATGAATTAGGTGGTCACTTTTAATTATCATCTGATGGTGGGCTATTCAAATCGCCCTTCGTCCATGGTCCGTGGTCTGTTCTTAAACAATTCTTGTTATCGCTATTTCTCAGGAAGTACCAAAGGGATTTTTCTCAAATTTCATATGTATGTACCCCTTGATCCCTAGTTGTGCATGTTTACTTTTAGAACTAATCATAAAAACTAAATGGCCGTTTGTTATCGTTATTTCTCCGGAAGTACTGGAGGGATCTTTCTCAAATTTTGTATGTAGATTCCCCTTGGTCCCTTGTTGTGCATGTATATTTTTAAATGTGATCATAAAAGCTAAATGGCTGTCTTTGATTTTTGACATTGAAGGTTTGTAATTGCTATTCTAAGGAAGTACTTATTTACATAGATTCCCCTTGATCCTTAGTTATGCATGTTTTATTTTGAGTGATCACAGCAAAACTAAATGGCCGAAGGAAGAATTTAACAGATCTTTCCTGTATATTAATGATCTGTTCTATTTCTTTCACATTAAGTACTGTACTAGTAAATATGTGAAATGACAAACTCACTTTGAAGGTTGTCTTTTATACACAGCAGTATTAAGTTTAAATCAAAATTTACCTCAAGGTGCATTTACTGTTGTAATAGGACATGCGTGGGGAGAGCCTGTCCTGCGTTGGTAGATGAAAGTGATCGTATAGTAATTTCGGTTTTCCCCAAAACTACCAACGAACTGACCTGCGGCAATCCCCAAGAATGTCCCCGCTGCATCTGTCTGAACAGTCAGACACAGGTCCGAGTTATAAACCAATCAACACCTTGTTTCAAAGTTAACTCACATTTATTTATTATCTCACGGCTAAGCTAGCCGTTAATCAAAACATGGCAAACAATACGTACATTAACAACAGTATCCAGTATAAAAAGACTGAACAAAACCTAGTGACTGAAGTGTAGTGAACCTATTATGTATTAGCCCCCACATGGTAAAATATGGCCTAAAGGTAATTTAAACTATTCTGTGGGGAAAACCACCCCCTCCCTGGAACACTGACATACATTAAGCTATAACAAGTTTTAAGCTTTCCATAACGTGAGTGTACTTCAGTACATCGGTAGCACTGTTTTCAGCGCCTCGGTGGAGGGGTTTCCCCCTCCTGGTATAGACGGCCTTCTGGCCACCGCGTCCCTGATTTTTCCCGTACCTCCCCTTTTATACCCCAGCCTCCTGGCCCTATGTAACATGTATCGGACACTCATTCTGATTGGCTTAATCTATGACGTATGCGCAGTGAGCTCGGAACCTCTTCCAGCTACTCCCTAAAATCCTGTCGTCTCAAAAATAAACACCTATGTAAAACAAATAGACTGAGCCAGTGATAGCCGCTACATACAGCGATAGAATAGCAGTACCTTTAGTTACACTAGGATGGCAATAAAGGGATACACATGGAAAACAGTAAAATAAACACTGAGGCTAGCAACCTGTTTTCACACAGAGTTGACATGACTCGATCAAACAGATAAGAGAAAAGAAGAGATTGATCAAACTGACAAAGAACTAATGGAGATAGTAAATGGTTGGCAGATCCCTCCATGATCTCTTGTTTGTGTAGATTAGCATATATTTAGATGCAGCTACTGTGTTAAAGTATTTCCTAACTCACCTGGCCAAAGGATCTTAAGTGAGCTTAGCCTCTACCCATCATCTGTTCTCTGTTGTTTTTAGCTCACCTGCGCAAAGGAGCTTATGCCATGATGAAGGGCTGGGATGAAGGGCTACCGAGTTTGTTCAAACAAATGACCTTCACCCATTTTCAAGGTCACAGGGGTCAAACATGTTTAAAACCTTTAAAACTACTTCTTAATAACAAAGAGGCTGAGGGTTATAATATTTGGCCTGTAGCATGCTGGGATGAAGCGCTACCACGTTTGTTAAAATGAATGACCTTGACAATTATTCAAGGTCACAATGGTCAAATATGTTTAAAACCTTTAAACAACATCATTTCAACAAGAGGCCCAATGGGCCTGCATCGCTCACCTGGTATTAATATCACACATGTAATCTTAAAAGTGGACTAAAATACAGTTACAGGCAAAATATCAGTGTTTCATTCATAAGAACCTATTAAAAGATTTAAACATAAGACACCTGTGACCTTGAATGTCGAACAAGGACATTATAATATTAGGTTGAACAGAGTTTATAGTCTTCCAACACAGCATGCTTCTGGAAAAAATATCATTACCCTGGACCTTTTGGTTATACAGAACAAATCATTTTAAGATTTAAACACTGTGACCTTGAATATGGGCGAAGGTCATTCACTTGGTAGTCCTTCATCCCAGCATGTTAATGGCCAAATATCATCACCCTTGGCCTTTTGCTTATTAAGAAGAAGTCATTCAATGGTTTTAAACATATTTGACCCCTGTGACCTTAAAATATATATGTCAAGGTCATTCATTTGAACTTGGTAGTCCTTCATCTCAGCATGTTACCGACATTATCCTAGGCCTCTTGGTTATTCAGAAGAAGTTGTTTAAAGGTTAAGAATATATTTGACCCTGTGACCTTGAAAAAAGATGAAGGTCATTCATTTGAACAAACTTTATAGCCCTTCATCCCAGCATGCTACTAGCCAAATATCATCACCCTAGGCCTATCGGTTATTCAGAAGAAGTTGTTTAAATGTTTAAAACATATTTGCCCTCTGTGACCTTGAAAGTAGGTCAAGGTCATTTATTTGAACAAAATAGGTAGCCCTTCATCCCAGCATATTACTGCCCAAATATCATCACCGTAGGCCTCTCGGTTATTCAGAAAAAGTTGTTTAAAGGTTTTATACATATTTGACCCCTATTTATTTGAACAAACTTGGTAGCCCTTCATCCCAGCATTTTACTGGCCAACTATCATCAACCTAGGCCTCTTGGTTATTCAGTAGAAATTGTTTAAATGTTTTTAACATATTTGACCCCTGTGACCTTGAATATAAGTCAAGGTCATTTATTTGAAAAATCCTGGCGGCCCTTCATCCCAGCATATTACTGGCCAAATATCATCACCCTAGGCCTCTTGGTTATTCAGAAGAAGTTGTTTAAAAGATTTTAACATATTTGACCCCTGTGACCTTGAATATAAGGCAAGGTCATTTATTTGAACAAACTTGGAAGCCCTTAATTCAAGCATGTTACTGGCCAAATATCATCATCCTAGGCCTCTTGGTTATTCAGAAGAAGTTGTTTAAAGATTTTAACATATTTGACCCCTGTGACCTTGAAAATTGATGAAGGTCATTTATTTGAACAAACTTGGTAGCCCTTCATCCAAGCATGCTTCTGGCCAAATATCATCACCCTAGGCCTTTTGGTTACTGAGAAGAAGTTGTTTAAAGTAAAAAGTTGACGCCGGACGGACGCCGGACGGACGCCGGACGGACGCACCATGCCATAAGCTCACTTGGCCCTTCGGGCCAGGTGAGCTAATAACCAGAAGTCCTAGGATGATGCTGTTTGGCCAGTAGCATGCTAGGATGAAGAACTACCAAGTTTATTCAAACGAATGACCTCAACATATATTAAAGGTCACAGGGGTCAAATATGTTTAAAACCTTTAAATGACCTCTTAATAAGCAAAAGGCTAAGGATGATGATATTTGCCTGTAGCTGTATTTTAGTCCACTTTAAAGATTATTTGTGAGATTAATTTCCAGGTGAGCGATTCAGGCCCATTGGGCCTCTTGTCTTATAATGCTACTGGTTCGGCACAAGGATTGCAGCCACAATATTTTGACATAATCTTATCTGTACAACACCTGCAGTTCTCAGCCGATTTTCACAAAACATTAATGATGCAGTAATCACCCTTGAAGTTATGCACCTGCAATTAATATTTTGATCCTGCTCATTTTTAGCTTACCTGCCTGAAGTGCAAGTGAACTTATGCTGTGGTGCAGCGTCCGTCCGTCGTCAACACTTTCAAGGTCACAGCGGTCAAATGTGTTAAAATCTTCAAACGACTTCTTCTCAATAACCAAAAGGCCGTGGGTGATGATATTTGGCCTGAAGCATGCTGGGATGAAGGGTTACCAAGTTGGTTCAAATGAATGACCTCCACCCATTTGCAAGGTCACAGAGGTCAAATATGTTGAAATCTTTAAACAACTTCAGAATAATCTAAAGGTCCAGGGTAATGATATTTGGCCAGAGACATGCTGGTATGAAAGGCTATAAAGTCTGTTCAATTTCATGTCCTTGTTTGACTTTCAAGGTCAAATGTGTCACATGTTTAAATCTTTTAATAGATTATTTTGAATTAATACCAGGTGAGTGATTCAGGCCCATTGGTTTTTAACCTCACCTTTTCCAAAGGACCTGTGACCTTGTGTTGCATCCTCTGTCCCTTTGTCATCTGTCTGTCATCCCTCAGACATCTGTCTGGCAACTTTTCCCATTAAAATATTACTATCTTTGATTGATTTTGAGTGTCTGTTAGGCAAAGAGGACTCGAACATTAGTCTAAAATATATTCAAATTGCCAAATATCTTCAATAACTGAGATATTTTTATATAATGCCAAGATCACAAGGTCAAGGACTCATCAGACTAAAAGATACTACCCAGTAAAATTAATTTCAATTGCTGGTTATCTCAAATATGGTCAACTTCTTGCACGAGTGTTTTTATAAAATAAAATTGAAGTTCCAAAGTGGAAACTCAAGGTAAAAGGTCAAGGTTACACACAAATCAGATTATAATGTGCTGAAAATCCTGATTATTGCCAAAACGACATTAGAATTGTTATGCAGGAATCTTTTTTACCTAAAATTGAAATAGTCCATGTTCTTCACCTTTGACACTTATGTGAACCCTTGCATCAATATCTCCAAATTAGGGTAGACATTTTGTATAGGTATTATACATACTGAAAATAGGTGAAGGTCATTTATTTGAACAAGTTTGGTAGTCCTGCCAAGCCTGCTACTTGCCTTCTGCTTATTAATTAGAAGTTGTTTTTTAACATCATTTGACCCCAGTGAACTTAAAAGTAGATTTTTGAAGATTTTAACATACTTGACCCCAGTGTTCTTGAAATGGGGTCAAGGTCATTCATTTGAACAAACCAGGCATCCCTTCATCTCGGTATGCCACTGACTAAATATCATCACTCTAGGCATACTTGTTAGGTGAGCTAGTAACTTAAGCAAGTTATCTTGTGGAAATTAAAGTGTGGAAATTGACCAATCAGGACACAGTATGCTAATTGTTTATGCACAGATTTTATGCAACTTAGCCTCAGTCTACATGTACATAATTACAAATTTCATCAAAATCAAACAATATTTAAGCAAGGGATCTTGCAGAATCCAAAGTGTGAACCAATGGACGCTCGCTCCCCGTACCATAATACATCCATTATGAACAGAAGAAAACACAAAACAGATCTCCCCAATCTGTCTGGTGGACATAAATAATTTATTAAAGACATCACTCAGCCAAAGCATGATCTCCATATACAGCAATAAAACATGTCAGTCCATATACAGCAATAATACATGTCAGTCCATATACAGCAATAAAACATGTCAGTCCATATACAGCAATAATACATGTCTGTCCATATACAGCAATAATACATGTCAGTCTATATACAGCAATAAAACATGTCAGTCCATATACAGCAATAATACATGTCAGTCCATATACAGCAAAAATACATGTCAGTCCATATACAGCAATAAAACATGTCAGTCCATATACTGCAATAATACATGTCGGTCCATATACAGCAATAATACATGTCAGTCCATATACAGCAATAAAACATGTCAGTCCTGTACACTTAACCCTGGAAGTGATAATACTTCAGTTCTTGAAATTATTGAGTAGTTTGACTCGGCCAGCTTCGTAGTCATCTTCATCAACATTGACCAGGAGTTTTATGGCCTCGTGTCCAACCGCCTGCTTCAGGGACTCTGCAAAATTACAAGGATGTCAGGTAAAGTAAGAAGGTCATACAAAGAAAATATCATAAAGGTATAACCTACATATAGTGCAAAGAGTTCAAAATGACATAATCTGTGAGGGCCTATATCTAATTGAAGTAAAACCTAGAACTGCAATCTCAAAGAAGTTTGAGAATGCAGACAGATTTCTGAATGGTCATGGAGGTCATTGGTTTTTTACCAAGATAAATGGCCATTAAAGCTAAGTCCCAGCACCAACACCATTAGTGGTGCAAGTATCCCAGCATGTTGCTGGTCATATATCATCACTCTAGGCCATTTGGTTATTGAGAAAATGTTGTTTTCAGATTTTTTTTAACATGTGACCCCTGTGACCATGAAAAAAAGTCATAGTATTTATTGAAAAAAACTTAGTAGCAGTTCCTCCCAGTATGCTACTAGCCAGATATCATCACCCTGTGCCTTTCAGGTATTGAGAAGTTGTTTAAAGGCATTTCATCCATGTGACCTTGAAAGGGTGTCAAGGTTATTAATTTAAACGAACTTGGTAGCCTTTCCTCCCAGATTCTACTGGGCTATATCAACACTGTCACTACATGATATATAGTTGGATATTGTCAGAAAACAGTAAAATAATAAAATATTGTAAATTTTAACCACCACCCCTGGGAGGAAGTGTTGACCCAGGAATGGTGAAATTCACAATTTATATAACACCTTAGGACTTTCAACACTATCAAAATGCAATAATTTAAACAAAGCTTTTTCTACTGAAAATCTGCAAAATATACCTGAAAATGTTTTTTTCCCTATATCAACTTTGACAAACTTTACCTCCTTCAATGTAGGAATGGATAACCCAGGGTAATGCAATTCATCATTTTCATTTTGTATCTAAGAACCATTCCATCCATGAAGAGGCTTTGATTCTAGCACAAGAAGAAGATTGTACAAATTTTAGCCAATTTGACCGTTTTGGGCCCTGCCCTCAGGCCTTGGGTTGATTCAGGGTCTTGATTTAAATGTACCCAAAAGTGATATTTTCATATACAAGAGGCCCAATGGGCCTGCATCACTCACCTGGTATTAATCGCACACTTACAACCCTAAAAGTGGACGAAGGCCAAATTGATTGAAATGGACTAAATACAGTCCTATCATTACCTATGACTCCTGGTCATCTCAAAGATTATATGATTACCTGTTAGTCAATAAATTTGCCCCTGTGACCTTGAAGGTTATTTTGTGAAACTAACTTGTTTGCCCTTTATCCAAGCATTCAGCTGGCCAAATATCAACAAAGGTTTATCCATATAAGATCCATGTGACCTTGAAAATGAGTCAAGGTCATTTATTTTATCTAACGTAGTAGCTCTACATTTGAGAATGCTACTGGCTAATTCTCATCATCCTGTGACTGCAGGCTAATAACCAAAGTACCAATTACCTAAGTACAACAGGCTGATTCCTAATAAGCTGCATACTTGTGGTCAAATTACTATTATGTCTTCTCATTCAGCCAGCATGCCCGACAAATGATGGACATTGCACACCACACGACTGTAGCAGCTCTCAGGCACTTCATACCAGTTAAACTTAAATCTTTTCGATATAATTCTTATGGATGGTTTTATTACCTGTGAGAAATACACCCTTCAGGGCTTCCAACAGTGATCCATTGATGTAGTCTCGCCAAAAAGCATCTAGGTAGGTCAGATCTGAGAACTTAATGTCACACACGATAGAGCCAAGGTCATGTGACTTGAGGACTGTGTTGGCCTGCATGAACTTCTCACACTGCCGTTCTACCACTGTAGGCTTGTTGGAGAAAACATTCCCCTCTAAAGTACTCTCCTGTAGAGCAACTTCTGCACGCACTCGTAGTCGGATATCTACAAATATATATGTCAATCCTTTGTAGTAAGATATCTACAAATATATATATCAATCCTTTGTAGTAGTCAGATATCTACAAATATATATGTCAATCCTTTGTAGTCAGATATCTACAAATATATATGTCAATCCCTTGTTGTCAGATATCTACACATATATATGTCAATCCCTTGTAGTCAGATATCTACAAATATATATATGTCAATCCCTTGTTGTCAGATATCTACAAATATATATGTGTCAATCCCTTGTTGACAGATATCTACAAATATATATGTCAATCCCTTTTCAGATATCTACACATATATATGTCAATTCTTTGTAGTCAGATATCTACAAATATATATGTCAATCCTTTGTCAGTTATCTACAAATATATATGTCAATCCTTTGTCAGTTATCTACAAATATATGTGTCAATCCTTTGTAGTCAGATATCAACAAATATATATGTCAATCCTTTGTTGTCAGATATCTACAAATATATATGTGTCAATCCCTTGTTGACAGATATCTACAAATATATATGTCAATCCCTTGGAGTCAGATATCTACAAATATATATGTCAATCTCTTGTCAGATATCTACACATATATATGACAATCCTTTGTAGTCAGATATCTACGCATATATATGTCAATCCTTTGTAGTGAGATATCTACACATATATATGTCAAACCTTTGTAGTCAGATATCTACACATATATACGTCAATTCCTTGTTGTCAGATATCTACGGATATATATGTCAATCCTTTGTAGTCAGACATCTACACATATATATGTCAATCCCTTGTAGTCAGATATCAACAAATATATATGTCAATCCTTTGTCAGTTATCTACAAATATATGTGTCAATCCTTTGTAGTCAGATATCAACAAATATATATGTCAATCCTTTGTTGTCAGATATCTACAAATATATATGTGTCAATCCCTTGTTGACAGATATCTACAAATATATATGTCAATCCCTTGTTGTCATATATCTACAAATATATATGTCAATCCCTTGTTGTCATATATCTACAAATATATATGTCAATCCTTTGTAGTCAGTGATCTACACATAGATATGTCAATCCCTTGTTGTCAGATATCTACAAATATATATGTCAATCCTTTGTAGTCAGATATCTACACATATATATGTCAATTCCTTGTTGTCAGATATCTACAGATATATATGTCAATCCTTTGTAGTCAGATATCTACACATATATATGTCAATCCCTTGTTGTCAGATATGTACAAGTATATATGTCAATCCTTTGTCAGTTATCTACAAATATATATGTCAATCCTTTGTAGTCAGATATCTACAAATATATATGTCAATCCCTTGTTGTCGGATATCTACAAATATATATGTCAATCCTTTGTAGTCAGATATCTACAAATAGATATGTCAATCCCTTGTCAGATATCCACACATATATATGTCAATACCTTGTTGTCAGATATGTACAAGTATATGTGTCAATCCTTTGTCAGTTATCTGCAAATATATATGTCAATCCATTGTTGTCAGATATGTACAAATATATATGTCAATCCCTTGTTGTCAGATATCTACAAATAAATGGCTACATCAACCATACAATCAGATGTCACATCTACATGTATATATTCCAAAAGTGAAATATCAAAGAAAAAAAAGCCTTAATTAATATTTGCTCGAGTTATTAAGCGGAAACTGCAGATAATGACTGCCAAATGGAGTCCGATTAAAGTGGTTGTCAAATTAAACTTGGCCGAGCCCTTAATGTGTTGAACCATGTTACTAAGTTTGAAGACAATCGGATACTATTTGCGAGAGTTAATGAACAAAAATGGAAGATAATGACGTTTTTCGTTATTCAAGGGGCCAAATGGGGTCCGCTGAAAGTAGTCATCAAGCTTGGCTGAGCCCTTAAGTTATTTAACCCTGTGACTAAGTTTTAAGAAAATCGGTTAACATTTGTTGTAGTCATTGCATGGAAAAGAAGCATGACAGACAGACAGACGGACCCAAATTAATATCCCTCGTTTCGGTGAAAGCGGGGGATAGATAAAATGTACCTGTATCAAGAAACAAAAATAAAAAGGTCTCAATCAGAAGAAACCTCATACCTGTTAACATTTGGTTTTTAAGTCAATCAAACTGTGCTACATATCTGTAGAACCCTTTTGTGATCATTGAATAATGATGTAAGGTTATCTAAACAAGGCTAGGAATTAATGTAATTTTCTTTTAAAGCCTTATTGCTTTTTATTTCAGTTTATAAAATTTTGTTGATTCGGTGCTTTAACTGGGAAATAAATAGTCAGCTAAATAGATTAAAATTACCTACCCTCATTGCTATTGTAGCATGACATCATCTTATTGCCCTGGTAAGATATCTTACAATGGCTTTCCATCATGTGGAAAGCTCTTTCTCTCATATCCGGTCATGTAAGATAGTCATGCTTGCCGAGTCTATCTTACGTGGGCGCGACCTCATAATGGCTCAACAATGACGTGACGTCACGAATTTGGAAAACACTGATGCCGCAATGCAGAAAAGGCAACGTGACGAAATTTAAACCTTTTAGGATATATTTATCGTACACGTTAAAAAGTTGAGAATATTTTTTCTCCGTAAACTTTGATTGCTAATATGGGGTATACTAAGTCTCGCTGACAAATTTGTTTTCGTCAAAAAAGATCGGGGGAAAAATTGATATTTTCAAAATGGTAGCCAGTCCAAATGCATTACCAAACAGAAAACCCCTCGTGTGGAATTTCCCTATCCTACACCCCTGGACATGAATGAGTCTTATAATCTTACATGGCCAACTATGTAAAAATATAAGACTTGTTTATGCCCATGTAGACCAGTCAGCCTACAGTTTGACCCGCACCTAATTCCAACAAAGACCATTCTTGTTGGATTGCACTCAGAATATATGTAATTAAAACATACGAAAAGTCTAGAAAAATCTAAATAGAGGAACATATTGGATTTTCCGATTAAAGTGTGCAAAAATATGTTGATAATATATTGCGCGTATGTGTAGCCGTAGGTGCAAAGGGAGATAAATCCTACCAGCAAGCACGTTTGTTATATTCTGTGAGCAGACTTATTTATGACGACTTGACAGAAAGCTGTTGTAAATATGGTGAGTGGTGACAGACATTGAAATATAATGATCACTTACACTGTATATATACATGTAACATGATATAAAAATGTTATTGTGTATGCTGAGTGTACGTGTTTGACTTGGTTGGAAAGTGTTGTCTGCTCGAGTCCCGAATCGTAAAACCGTGCCGTACAACAGGTTCATAAACACTGAAATTTTACCAAACTAAGTGATGTCAGGGTTCAAAACAATTATTATACCAGAGTTCGATTTAATTTTAACCGTGTAGAAACGGTTATTTGATTAAAATTATTTTTTGAATGACTGGACCAGTGTATATTCCGTATGAAAAATAAAACTATGGAACCCTATAGTTGCCGTACACACTGGTTTGATCCGGTCTACGACATACATAATGTAGATGGTAATTAAATGTACTTAACAGTTTGTTGTGCAGGTATATATACGTCATTGCAATTATAAGTGACATTTAAACACATACAAATGACATTGCTTATTCGCTTATTGACTTAGTCTTTTTATGGGAGCGTGGGGGGGGGGGGCTGCAAGTTCGACACCACAAATTATATATATATAGGGTCCTGACGGTATTTAATTGGACAGACGCTTGAGATACCATCAAAAGCAATATAATACGATACGGAATGGTTTGTTTTTTGTTTTTGTTTACTATTTATGGAAGACAGGACATTTTCCTAAAAAATAGTGCGAATACGTTACTTAAAAAAACCATTATAGACCGAACTTACCCAGCTCTAAAGATCTCCCTGTCCACTTAAGTTTGCAAGCACCATCATTCCAAAAAAATAGATAAGGGGATAGGGGGGTGGGGGGTTGGGGGTCTACATACGATCAAATGGCCCATCCCCAATCCGATATTGTCAAACTGCTTTTACCTGCAATCTGTATAATAGAACATATTATCAATATTGTGTTTTATTATTTGTTTCATAATCATACAACTTCTGTTTTATTTAATTTTATTTATATTATCTTGTTTTTATATCTTTTGTATTATAATTTTTATTATGTTCTTTTTGATATGATTTTGTGGAAAATGTAAACAAGTAACCGTCGTGTAAACCAGACGTCTATGGTCTTCGGACTTCCAGAATGATCAGTGTTGCCAACAAAGGTATGGTAGGTGTGTATTTTTATATTTTATTTTTACACCTTTCTTTTTGCTTTTTGTTTCTTATAATTACATTTTACTTCCAATGTAACCGTTTTCTCTTTACCTCTATTAGTTTCATTTGCTATATATGTGATATACATTCCACATTACCACCACGCAGACACTAATGGTGGTGATGTTTTTATTGCAGGAAATATGAGCCGCTGTGCAATTTGCAAAGTGCCTGTCAGAGACGGGGAATCTACAGTTACCCTTCGAGAAAAAGGCAGCAATGGTATCAACAAAGCCAGCAAGGCACGTGACAATTCCAACGTCAATACATCTGCTGGCGATGTGGTGCACACAGAGTGTAGGCGTATATACTGCAATGCGAACATTATAAAGCGGGATGCTGGGCTATTGGAAGCTAGGGATACAGACGACCCTTCTTGCCATCGCTCTTTACGCTCCACCAATACAGACCACCAAACACGATTCTGCGACATATGCATTTTATGTGGAAAGCCTGCAAAGACCTCTGATAAGAAGAGAGGGATCGATGTCTATGCCGTGCGGACAATGAGGTTCCAGGAGACTTTGGTACAAGCCTTTGATGACCGGAAAAATGATCAATGGGCACAGGAAGTAAAGGCACGTTTGGAGTTCGTTCGTGATCTCCCCGCTGCCGATGCGGTTTACCACCAGCTATGCAATGTGAACTTCCGTACCAACTACCAGATCCCGTTGCTTTTCACAAACGAAAAACCTAAACGACGCAAGTCATCTGGAAGACCAACAAGCGACCTTCACGAGTCCGGATTCCAACGGGTACTACAGTTCCTAAGCGAGCATGCCGAAGACCAGATCACCATTGCAGTCCTTGTTGATCACATGAAAGGCTGTTGCGGAGAAGAGGCATACAGTCCAACACATATGAAGAGGAAACTTGTAAAACATTTCGGCTCTGACATTATCATCACGGAAATAAACGGAAAACCCAACATTATAACGTTTAAAGCTACCGCATCTCACATACTTAGTGACTTTTATCAGCGACCTCAGAATCAAGACCCAGAGGCTGAAAAAAGAAGTATTATCGAAACAGCAGCGAAGTTGATAAAACGGGATATTAAGTCTATGGATACTTCGAAAGTTGTGTACCCATCATCGTCAGAGATATCGTCTGGTGAAAAGAACATTGAATACCTTCCTGCTAGTGTACAGATGTTGTTGCGGTTGCTGTTCTGTGACCTGGACGCACAGGTTAAGATCGCATCAATTGGACAGGCCATAGTCCAAGCAACACGTCCAAGAGTCCTTATCGCCCCGCTCCAATTAGGTCTTGGCATTCAAATGCATCATCAATTCGCCTCGAAATTCCTAGTGGATACATTGCATCGACTTGGCTTTTGTGTATCCTATACTGAGGTACAAAAGTTTGAAACCAGTGCGGCTGCATCACAGGGAACTGATATCCACGGAATCACACCGGAGCACACCATCCAGTACGTTGCGGACAATGTTGACCATAACCTGAGGACATTGGATGGCCACAACACTTTCCACGGAATGGGGATCATTGCTGGTGTCACACCAGCTGTATCACGCCAACGACCTGTTCCGAGGATATCCGTAACAATGGATGAAGTAACTGCGTTGGCGAAGATTAACATAGACTTCTTCAAACTTCACACTAATCCACTCGAAGCGTTGGTGTTTGAGAAGATTCATGCGGTTCCGAGGCAGGACGCTACCTGGAAACTTGACTTGCTTTCCAAAATCGCATGGACTCTACGGTCCCATAATGGGTGGTCGGCGATGATGCACGCGGTACAGGATGGCGATTTTCCGGGAAAATCGTCAGTTGTCTTTCTGCCAATGATCGACATGGACCCCAGCGATATGTCATGCATATACTCGACTCTACAATTCGTAAGCAAGGAAGCCAGACGGCACGGTGCTCATCCCATCCTGACATTTGACCAGCCTCTCTACTGGAAAGCTCTTATGATAATCACAAGCGAACCCCCTTCCAGTATCTTACGGTCAATTGTACTACGACTCGGTGGATTCCGCATGGAAATGAGCTTTCTGGGGTGTGCTTCAGGAGGCCTACAGGAACTGCTGGAAACTGTATACGCTCCAAACGCTGTGAGTCACATGCTAAGTGGTAAAGCTGTCGCAAGGGCTGTCAGGGGACATTTTCTAATAGATGCTGCATTAAATGCCATCATATTGTCCAACGCATTTCAGTGCCCGCTGCCTCATCACTCATGCGAAGAAGACCCTGTATCAGATTTAACGATTGATAACCATACCTCCATGGAGACAGACGACAATACAGAGGATTTCGCAGAAATACAACAGGCCCAAACCACAGATTCTACCAGAGCGAGTAATGATGATGACATGGATTCGGAGCCTAGTGGCGATTCGATAGTTTCATCTCTTGAGGATGAAAGGAATGATGACCTAGCTGAGGCAGGAAGAATGTACGATATGCTGTTGAACGGAGAGATATCAACAAGAACCGTATGTGAAGATGATGTACTTGACCGCATTAAAGAAGTACTGGACTCTTACAAAGCGTCCATGGGAACTCTTCGCACAGCTACTTTGTGGATGCAGTACATGGAGATGATCGACATCCTTCGACAATTTATTAAAGCGGAACGCACAGGAAATTGGGATCTTCACCTACAGACAGTGCAAGAAATGATGCCTTTCTTCGCTGCATCCGGCCACAATCTCTACACCAAGTCCGCATACATGTACCTCCAAACTATGCAAGCACTTGAACGTGAACATCCTCTGATCCACATGGCCTTCCAAACAGGACACCATGTAATACGCAGAAGTGATCGGTACTGGGCTGGACTTTCCACTGATTTGATTATCGAG